TCTATGTGATAGTAATATGCTCACTTAAACTTGTTTGTGGCAGAGCGTATTTTCTCTGAATAGGTGTTTTCACAGATTCTGTAAAAAATGGGGAACATAAAACTTCGCCTAAACACAGGACACAAGATACTAAGAAGTCATTCATTTCTATGACGTTTCTTTCCCACAACAGTAAGGCGCATACACAATGCTTGATGATGCACATGCGCTTTGCTATTGTGGGACGCCATTCAAGTAAATCAGTCTGCACTGCTCCCGTCCAAATCTCTTCTTGTGTCCGGTATGTACGTGCTTTATAATTTCCGCGTCTTCACGACCTCTTCACTGCAGTGAAGCAACTTTTCCAAGGGTTACATACGGACATATTCGTTCATTTTGAGTTGTTCGAAATTTTTAATAATAGAAATCCAAGCAAATTCAAATACTTTACTACTGTATATATTTGAATATTTAAAGCATTCAAATATTCACATAAGCCTGAACAAAACATAATGAAATAAGTTTAAAACTGTCAACATTTTATGGCTTTCTATTATGTCCCCATTTTCATTGTATGCTTAGAGCTTCTTTTATTGCAACAGATGAAAGGAAACACAAACTTCCCACTAATCTTTCACTTTTTCACATATGGATGAAATGCTTACTGAAATATTTTTCCTGAAAATGGTGGCACAACAAAACATTAGGTTATTTGTTGCTACATGCTATAGAGTCGCCAACTGTTCATTCAGACATCGAAATTCGAGACATGATCGTTTATTCAGGCACCATCAGCCTCTCGTCCCACTGAAGTAATGTAAACTAGCAACCGAAAATTCAAATGCAGTGCATCGTTTGATTTTTTGGACTCCGACTAACTGAATGACTGCAACGGCCAACGCAATGACACTCTGTCAGCGATGTTTACAATATTTTTGCTAGATTGCAGTGCTGAAGTGCAAATCTTGCTACGGAAGGATGTTGCGCCAGTGTCAAAACAAAAATTCATGAAAAAATTTCAATTGCCAATCTTGAAGGTTGGCTACTTGTAACGTTGGCGTTGAGCGTTAGCCACTGAAGTTTATCCACTGAATGTCTACAGTGGCCAAGCAAAGCGACACTTGTAGTGTGCTAGCAGTGCCATTTGAGGCTTTGAGGGTTAGTTTGAGTGTCTAGCTAGCTTCTGCAGGTAGACTTGCTGTGCATTTTTCGCTTTGTGTCTCACTCTCTTGCGTGCTCCTTGGCGTGCGAGCTACTTAAATGGCTCGAATGCCACCAGTACCATCTGCGCACTGCTGCGCCAGTATGCACCAATGCATACTAAAGATATGTTGTGTAAGTACTGGCCTCTTCTAGAAACAAGCCCGGCCAAAACGCCAACTACAGGACGTTTACAACAGGGAAGGAAACAGCCATTACTCACTAGGTGCAAGGCGGCTGACCTCAGCCTGAAGTTGCTTGGGAGTTTTCAATATCTAAGCATACTATTTTAAACTACCTGAAGCAGACGGATAAGATTCAAGAGGCAGCTGACAAAACTTATGCAGAAACACAGAAAAATTTCCATGATGACAGCCACCTAAACCCGAACAGGTGCACCACGGTAGCTCGGAAAATACCCGTATTTGGCAATCTGTTGAGACAAAAAGCAGAGACGCTCGCCCTGTGCATAGGTATTAGTGGCTGCAAGTTCAGTGATGGCTGGCTGTGCAACATCAAGAAGAGGTATGACCTGGCCTTCAAACAAATGCGCGGCGAGAGTGCTTCCATGGACCTATCCCTTGTGTCAAACTACTTCACCGACAAGCTATTTGCATTGCTGCACCAGCACGCACCAAAAGATGTCTTTAGTTGTGGCAAGACTGGCTTCCTCTGCAAAATGCTGCTAGACAAGATGCTTGCTTTGTCAAGCGAACAAAGAAAAGCACAGCAAGTAGCAAGTAACTCTTGTTTAAGAGGCAACAACACAGGGAAGGGGTAAACTTGTGCTTCTCATCACACAAAAATCAAAGAATCCAAGATGTTTTAAAGGCGTCAAATCACCCCTGCCTGGTATGAAGCAACAACTGTGGTGCCCAGAGGCACATCAATCAGCAATCTTCAAGGGCCAGTTAACAGGCTGACTTTTTTTTACACCCCCCAAAAAAGCTCAGCAATTCATATACTAGACTGCAGCAAACCCATTTTGCCAATATTATGGTGCTGCAAGGTGCGCAGAGCCTCCATTTTAAAAAACAATTCCTTGCGCTCTTTTCCTATGCCTTACCAATCTTCGTTTCATGTGCGGTGACACAAAGCTGCCGATTTTGTCAAAACCGGTCACAACGACGGGCTACACCTTCCCCTTGCTGTGAGGGAGAAGCGTGGCGAGGCGCTTGGAAGTTTGAAACCAGCTGAAACCAATGTTCTAACCCCTGTAACTTCCTTATTGTAGCACGTATTCGCTAAATTCTTGCGGCAACATGTTCACAAAGCACAAGTGCACATATTTTTTCTTATAACAATTTCTGGACCTCAGGGTTGTTTACTAGCCCTTTAAAGCTAATCGTGGAGCTTTTCACCGCTTGCCGCACATGGACCAGGGCTTTATTAAAAAACTTGAAGGTGAATTACCAATCTAGCGTTCTGAATCATGACAGTGACAAGAACGTGCTGTCTTGAATGTGTCTTGAATGTGCTGTCAGTCATCAGTATCTTGTCCAATGCTGGGAAGGCAGTGACTAAGGATACCATATGCAACTGTTTCTGCAACACAGCACTTGTGAACAGTAAGGCAGTGCCACAGTCGTGGACCCCACTTTAAATAATCCCCTCACTGCAACAGCAGACACATTGGACAACCTCGGTGCTAGTGTGATAGATGTGGGGACGTGTACGCTGAGGAGTTCCAAAACTTTAGTGCCATCCCGCCTTGCATTGAGTTGGACGATGAGAAGATCAGGTACTCGAGCTAGGGCAGGTGCACAGCGACTCTTACGATTACGCACCATCAAGACCACAGCCATCAAATGCGGACTTAGCGCAGGCTGTGACAGCGCTGTTGTCTGCTTACAGAGATGACCAGACACTGGCTGAGATACAGGTTGACTTGGTCGCACATAGGCGTATTTGTGTGCAGAGGCGCATAGATAAGTTTTTCCGGCCAGGTGCTTCTTTTTTTTTTTTTTTTTTCGGGTTAATTTTTTTTTTTTTTTTTCGAGCTCTCGATTGTTCAGACTTTTTGGCAGTTCTCGCTAAGTCCGAATAAATGGTCAGCGACTGCAGTAGTCATTGTTCGAATAACCTAGCCCGCAAGATGTGTCTGCGAACCATTGCACGAGCAAAGGAGCGTCAATGTACTAACTCACACAGGCAGAAAGGTTCACGCATATATTTTTTAACATATGGTTTAGTGGAATCACTTTTCAGATCTGATACCATGATAAAGGCAAGCTAGTTATCCCTGAAATGTGTCTCGTTAGGCTAGTTGGTCAAATATGGTAAAAGAACAGTGAAAACTAGAAGAAATGAATGAAAAAATAACAGACAGAACGAACACTGACACTACAGTCAAACCTCAATATATCGAACACGGATATATCGAATTATTGCCTATATCAAACGGTTCCTACATCGTGCGGGAAATCGCATGCATTATTGCTTTTTTTATTTCGAACAAAGTTTGACATATAATGGATATATCGAACTCAGCCACCCCAAACCGCCCGCGCTCCATTGACAGGCGGCGAGCTTTCCCGCAACTCTCTAAAGTAGCGGTAGAGCGGCGGGCGTTTACGAATGCTGCCCACATCGATGGCGCCGAGAGCGCCACTTTAACGTAGCGGCGTATGCGTGCCGCAGCCTTGCGGTAGAGGTTCTTGAATGAGGAATGTGAAGAGAAAAGCGCGGAGCTTTTATTTTCTTTCAATACGAAGGCACCGACACGGCTTCGCGCGGGGGAAGGGGGAGTGGGAGGTAAAGATTGAGGAGGAAAGTATAGGAGGGAAAGGACGCAGACGACCAACGCAATTTAGTCGGCGTTGAAACGACTGTCTCGAACGCGGCCCGCGCTGCTGCCGGGAAAGGGAAAGCAGTCAGGCGAGCCGGCATGGGCGCGCCATGTGCGCGCTTTACACCCGGACTCACGCCGCACCCTTGCAGCTTGCAGTCGTTGCAGTCTCTATGGTGTCAACGGCACACTGCGCACTTGTTGCAAGCTCCTCCCCCGTAAAAAATTGCGCTGAAATAGAAAGGACACCACAAAGAAGGAACACTTAAACAGATCGAGCGCAATCCCCCGTAGCATCGGCAGGCATCGGTCGTTGTGCTCGCAGTGTTCATGCGTTCGGAGTTAGGCCTGTAGCGCGCTGTTCGGAGTTGGGCTTGCCGCGCGCTGTGGTGCGCGACAGGCTTAACTCTGAACGGCGGAGCTCACGGATGTGGAGATTGTCGCCGAAGCTACTGCTGAGCAGCCAAATGAAGACTCTGCCGAGGTGAATCCCGCAAGCGCTGATGGTGCCCCGCTCCCAACATCAGCTGAGGTCGTAGCTGCCTTGGCCCTTGTGCGCCGCCACTGCGGCTCGATTGAAGGCAACGGCCTATCACTTATGGATCGCCTGTACTATATTGAGGACGCAGTCGTCAAACACGCCATGGCCAACAAAAAGCAGGCTACTCTTTTTCAATATTTTAAACCAACACAATAAATACTATGTTTGAACCTTCAAGTGAGTATTTACTGCACCACCCTTGAATGGTTCGTTGGTCGTTTTCAGAAAGCTGTTGACGCATTTTTTTCATGATTTTTTTATATCGAATTCTGGATAAATCGAACTATTTCGCGATCACCGCGCCATTCGATATATCGAGGTACGACTGTACAACATGAGTTGATAGTCAGTGCTCATCCTGTCTGTTATTTCTTTACTCCTCTCTTCTAGTTTGCAATGTTTTTACCTTTTGCTAACCAATTATGTGCCCTATTCATACAGTGTGTCACAGAATCTACAGAATAAAGCAAGACAACTTTTTGCATGCAGTACCTTCAACGCAGATGTACTTCCACTGAGAACGCCGTGCAGTGCCAGTTGCACTGACTGCTTCCAAGCGGCTAATGGGTGCACCCTGCCGCACCGACACGCAGCTGCGGGAGAAGCCAAACCGGTTGGCAAAGTAGTCAAGGAAGCCAATGAAGAGTGCGCCGAGGCTCTGTGTGTTGGCAGACTGCCAAGGCGGCAAATCCTCACCCAAGCGCAGCAGCCGCACATCCCCATCACTGCAGAACCGGCCCTGCATGCACAAATGCCAATCTCAAGGCACATCTTATAAACAGCACATTAATGGCTAATGACGAATGGCACAGCAAGGTCTGGAGATGGAAGCACAGAAAAAGCGTGGCTGATCCTTTTTTTTTTTTTTTTTCAGGAATCAGTATTAACACGAAAGCGAAAAGTGTCTTCACAAAGGTAGCTCAGTGTTTATTGTACATTGTTTCGCCACAAAGGCGAAGAAATTAATGCTACAGAAACAAATTGCGATGTCACGTGAAGAAGGCAAGCAGCTTGAAACTTGCCCCGCGCATCTTAAGCCGACAGCACACACAAAATGAGCATACACAAGACGAGTGCGGACAACTAACTGCCACAGCTTCACACTTAAAGCACGCTGCTCAAAGAAAAAGAAAACACGAAATGAATGCACAAGCATAGACCCTTTCACTGTTTACAAACACAGACCCTTGATGACATCGATTTCGTCCACCGATGTGCCTTAATAGCATCAGTGGCAAGAAGAGCTTTAGAAAAAAGCCCGCTCATTTTCTACACTTTGCTTCCCCCATTGGGCAAAATATATATGAATAAATGCTCTTTTGAGCTGCATAAAAATGATAAGATATTCCTTTGAGCTTTACACCAGTTCCTTTTATCTGAAAAAGTAAAGGGAGAATTTCCTTACCCTTTGAAAAAAATTTGAGAATAGGCTTTCAGTTTCGAAGTTAGCAGCTGGTAAATAAGATGACAGGAAGTTTTTTTGGGGTACTGTGTTTGTGACCTTGAAACCGTCTATGCACAAGATGAGCGCAAACAGCTGTTACGATTCTTACTTCTTCATGTGTGAGCCGCATGCTCATTTTGTAAACGTGGTGAGTGAAGTAACATTTGCGCTCTCTTTAACTGCTGTAACTGCCAAGCAAACTTGCAGTAGAAGCACCAAAGGTACAAAGCGCCTAAATCCCACGATAAGCGCGCGCTAGTGAGTGACCACGCCAGATAGCTGCTTTCTTGTATCCACCAGCAACAATTTTCCGAACTGCTTCACACAGGGCATAAACTTCAGCTGAAAAAATAGAAACAACAATGAGGCACTCTCACAGTAAATGTTTCTTCCCCTGTTTTCTATTTTCGAGCCGTCTGTGTAGAATTATTTGTGATCCCTATACAGTCGAATCTCATTAATTTGAACATGCTTAATTCGAACTTCTGGTTAATTCGAACTCACGAGGAGGTCCCGTCAAAGCTATGTGTATTCCAATGAGCGAAAACGCCCGGTAAATCGAACGCGCAAGCACTTGTGACGGTTAATTCGAACATACCGCGCTCCCAAAATGCTCTCAGCACCCCGCCCGATCCCGCGGCGGCACCTGCGACACCTCAACGCTGTGCGCGAAGGAAATGAAAAGGAGAGAAAAGGCTGCGGTGGAATGTTTGCTCTTTCTGAAATGCCAATCTGCGACGCGCCTGTGTCACGCTTCTCCGTATTCGCTCGGAGGATTTCAAGCTGGATGGTCGTGCCTCCGACAACAGCGTAGCTCCCGCATTGTGGTGCCCCGTTCTTGGACTGCTTCGACTGGATCCCCACTTTCCTATCTCCTTCTATTTTCGGTGGTCGCTTGCCTTCTCTATCTCTTCATCTATTTCCTTCTATTCTTTTTATCTCTCCTTCCCCCCCCCCCCCCTTTGAGGCACTGCGCCGCCATATCGCCCCTGAGACAGAAAGGAAAGAAAGCTGTCGCTGGGTTGAATAAATGTGTGGTTGAAGGAAAGGAAAAAGGCACTATCTTCTCCAGCCTTTGCCCCTTGCGGGAGCAAGGCGCTGAGAGCCTTGAGAAGTGGGGGAAGGGGTCTCATGCGCCCACGCGTCCCCCTTCTTTCCCGTCCCTACCACGTAACCCTTCTCCTTTCAACGACGTGCACGAAGAGAGCAAAAAGAAAAAAAAAGCTGCCGTGGAGTGTTGGTTTTCTCTCAAATGCCAATCTGCTTCTCTCTACGTGGAGGTGCTCCTCCTTTCTCGTCACGAGCTGGCCATGTAGCAGCTGCGGTAGCGGAGAGACTACTCAGTCGTTGCCGTCTTCAGAAAGTGTCGGTGCTGGACATTTCCACGCGCAACTTCTCTTGCCAGGAGAATGCTGAAGCCGAAGTAGAAATGCTTTGCAAGCTGCGTGCGAAATTGATTGACTTGCTGCAAGGCAAACGTGTGCAGACGTGCATCACCGATTACTTCAATTAATAACGGATGTCCTGTGATTTGTGAATAAATGTGAATCTCCTGAAACTTCCCCCTCGTGTGTTAGCTCAATGCACATGCGCCACTGCATGGAGAGCCCTAAGTTTATTTAGTTTTCATTAATTTGAACTACTTTTCATTCGAACAAATTTTCGGGCCCCTTCGTGTTCGAATTATTGAGATTCGACTGTATTTATATTGAAGTGTACGGAACTCTTGCATTATATGTTATGGTGGAGTGGAGTGTCTTTTTTGTTGGAACGGCTTAGCGACAAATCGCAAAGGTGCTACAGGTAAAACCATGGTGGCAGCCTAGGTGGTTTAATGGTGGCATGAAATGTTTCTTCAGGGATAATGCACGTGTGGCAGTAGTTCAGTGGTATACCATGAATAGGAATGCTGCTAGCTAAGAGTTATACAGTCAAGCTCACATATAATGGCCCCACTTAAAATGAAGTTCCGCTTAAAACGAACAATATCCGCATGACCATGAAAATATACATTGGTTCAATGGCCCAAAATCGCACTTACAACGAACGTCTCCGAGTGCCGCTGATCGGTTACAGCGAACGAAGTCAGCGGTCTGCCGACTTCCCGGGAAACCGATTTCAACCACCGATCAGGCATCGGCGAGGTGCCCATACATTCTTGTTGTTAAACGCCGACCCTGCCTCCGCGCCCCTCTAGTTGCCGCTCTCCCCAACCGCTCTTTGTTACACACCCCGTTGTCCTTTGTGTCCCTCCCCGCTACTCTGAGCACCCCCATCGCCAGATGAGGCCCGTGTTTTCACACTGCCGCCGATCTTTCGGAAGACTGGTCGGCCATCTACCCTTTTTTTGATTGCTGGTACTGTCGTTGGCCTCCCTGGCCTGGAGTGACCAGAACATTTGCCAACATTGTCGGCCAACGACTGTATCCGATAGTGTGCGTCTCGTGCAGGCGCTTACGCTACCCCACCAACTCTGATAATTTGCGATTCGTTTTGTGTTTAAGACTTGTTCTCGTTCACTTCGCACTCGGCTCAGCATGCCTTCCGCAGACGTGTGGAAGCGCGAAAACGGCTGTTAATTTGCGCGGAATGAATCGCATAATATCGAAGTTCATGAGGCCACGCAAACCCGCCGGCGCAACAAAACCATTTTTTGACCACGGCCGGCGATTCTTGGGAGTACATTGCCACGTGCCGATTCAGGCGACCATGCACTCTTTCCAAGTTTTTCTACGTGCAAGTTTCACGGACCTTTCAAGCAACCTCGCGGACCTTTCAAGCAAGGTCGCCCTCCCGCCGCATCCTCCCCTCTCTTTATCGCAACTCCTTGCCTTTCTCTCGCAAGTCTGCTCACCTCTCTTGATCACAACCCCTTCGCCCGTCTCCACCGCTCCGCGACGCCCGCTACGCTGGCTCGAATTAGTTTCGTTTTCTGACTGGAAATGGGCCCAGAGCTGTTCTACGCGGTCTGGCATGTGTGTCGCATGTGCCCGTCTTGCTCGCTCCTGGTGTGCGTGTGCGGTCATGATGGCCGACGGGAGAACTAGCACGCTTTTTCGTGCCGCTCAACAAAACGTCGAAAGTGTGACTGCTTGGCTTGAGCGTAATTCGCACTTTAAGTGCTGCGTTGCAGAGCGCTTGCTCGTAGCTATTGACCACCTGGCAGCCAACTTGCCGCTTCGGGGGTCCCGGTATTCAGCTATGGAGATGGTGAATATTTCGTGGGCGGCGGTGACGGCTACATGCGCGCGAAACTATTTTGCGAGGCTGACTTCGTCCGCGTCGGGCCCGATGCCGAGCCTGAAGCTTCCGAACAGGATCACTGCGGCGGCGATTTGTGGCAGCGCGTGATCAACTCCGCCCTGGGAGAGCGGGTGGGGTATTTGTTGCGATGCTTTAATTACGGCCGATGATGATGCAGACACTGCGGAACCGTGCACGAATTTGGGCATAGTGCATGAAGTACGTGGCGAGAGCGATTTGGAGGAATCGGATTGCGAGAAAGACAAAACTTTGGAGCCAGTGCCTCATGCAGCTTATGCCACGGGCCTCGGCAAACAAGCACCCTGCCATTTTAGATAAACTAGAGACCACCCTTATCGCTTCTGTTCTTCGAAACACGTGCATCACGGACTTTTTGAAGCAAAAAAAAAAAAAGTTTGTGTTTTCACTCCCAACTTTTTTTAAAAGCTGTGTTTCATTTACTATGAACTTCGAGATACAGCAAACGAATGCCGCATCATGCTCAGGTTCGTTATAAGTGGGCTCTCGACTGTAGTACTTTTGACTTGGGATATCACCTTTTTTTCCTGCAACCACAACTATGATCTTCAGCAGTGGAAGTGACGTGTGGCACATGATTGTGACCTGATTTGCCTGACCTGCCTGGTTGCCCATAAATTTCATATGATTTTAGTTTAATCACACCCTTACAAACTGCTATTGTAAGTGCAATCTTTCAAAAAGAGATAATGATATAACAGACAAATGGGTATTGGAGACGCTATTGTGCAGACAGCTAAATACGGATTGTTAAGAAAATGCACACGGGGTACCCTGCTTATAAGAGACATCTCACATAAAAAAACAGGAATAAAGGGGTTCAACTGTAATTACTGTATTTGGTTAACAAAGGCTATATGACATTACAAGTTTATAGATGACAAATGGACAGAATGATTGGGAAGGAACTTATGCAAAAGAGTGGCTACTTGGGCTGGTTGATATTGCATTTTTGAAAGAAATATGGTTGAAACAGAGTGATGCCAACACTGATCTAAAGACTTCTCTTTACAGTAGATGGGCTCAGCACAGTGGTCTGTACAACCAATAATAATACACCACGGGATATTGGCTACCAAATTTGCATAGTTACGGTGTTGCACGTCTTAAGTAGGCAGTCTATTACTTTGCCCCTCGTTACAATGTGGTCACCGGCGTTCATGAAGTAAGGCGCATTATTATTGATGCGCTCTTGCTGGCTGCATGTGCAGTGACAAGGCATTTCTGGTAACAAGCCATGATAATGTGTGAGTGAACAGAGTGCTGCCGAGCACACATGCTGCGCCCCAGCGCAAATTCCAACAACTGGCCTTCACTGTTCTGCCTCATAACATGCTCTTCCCTCATCAACAGGCTGCAGGTGGCCTTTTCAGTGCACCTGTGGCCCAAGACTCACCGGCTGCATCTTTTGAAGACTAGGCAAAACGGCTGGCTCACAACCACCTGCACAAGAATAAAGACGAGGAAAACACTCTTAGGTTAACCTGTGAGACCCACGCACAGTTGTGAATTTGCCAAATGAGCGTATATTGATACCAGTTTGAACAACATGTGCGATTGAACGATGAGCAGCCACAGCATCACAATCTTTTGCATGTTTTCTGAAGTGAAATTAACCACTTACCGCAATGTTCCTGCACCACATCATCAGTAGGGGTCGGCAAATAAACAAATGTTTTCAATGCCAGTTGAATGTTGTGTTACTACAATCAAACTCAATTATAACAAACTTAAAAGGGCCGCGATAATCATTGATTGATATGTGGGGTTTAACTTCCCAAAACCACCATATGATTATGAGGGACACCGTAGTGGAGGGCTCTGGAAATTTAGACCACTAGGGGTTAAGGTGCACCCAAATCTGAGCACACGAACCAACAACATTTCCGTCTTTATCGAAAATGAGCCGGCACAGCCGGGATTTGATCCCGCGGCCTGCGGGTCAGCAGCCGAATACCCTAGCCGCTAGACCACCGCGGCGGGGCTAAAAGGGCCGCGATAAATGGTCATTACACCGGTATGTTACTGTTGCACTTTTCAGACTCATAAATCGCATTCTTTTCCATTTATTTTTGTGATGCTTCCCTTACTCAATGCTCCCCGAGGAGCCTGTCAGGTACTAGTAAATAAATAAGTAGTTAGTTGTATATAGACTCGTCCTTAAAACTTGCACTAGGCAGCCAAACTGTATATATATGTTTTTTGTGTGTGTGTGTGTGTGTGTGTGTGTGTGTGTGTGTGTGTGTGTGTGTGTGTGTGTATGTGTGTGCGTGTGTTCATTTTTATTAAATAGTGCTAACAATTCCTCTGGAGACATGTTACGACTTTTCGCTTAACTTGTTAAGCAACACTCGATGTGTGCTCACGAGTAAATTAAATCACTGTTGCAATAAACTCACATTGTTGCACTGAAGTGCGATAACCCCAATTGTGGAAGCAATCATCCATGGCTAGTTAAGTGCAGCAGTTCTTTACTCGGCTCTCACCTTCGCAAGCCCGACGGTTTGCGGTCTTAAGTATGCATGCATTTGTGCGTTTTCCGTGCTTGCTTCCCACCTCATCCTGCTCGGATGCGGCACGTTGCCGGTTCATTCAACACAGCGAAGACATGCATTTTGCAAGCAACGCGCAAGTGGCCTTGTATTACGTGGTGGCGGCGAAGTTGCTAACGGCAGCATGATGTGCTTGTACATCGTCACTCCATGTGCATTTAAGACATGCAGTTGAGCATGTCTTAAATGCACATGGAGTGCATTTAAGACATGCTCAATAAATTATCGCAGTCATCCACAGATGACTGCGATAATGTTATTGGCGATGAGTCCAAATGGCACATTCATCGCCACTCGTCACTTCGCCTTCACTTTTTTCTGATACTTAGCCATTAGCTCTTTCGTTACCACACCTATTCAAAGTGATCACCGGTGATTGATGCTTTGGATCGCCAACTTTAGCATGTCAAATTTGTTTCTCGTGCACCCAACACATTCTAGTAGTTAGTCCAGCCACTCAACTTTCAGAACCAATTTAATTTGCCTGTTTGGGCAACATGGTGATTTTTGACAAACCTTTGCGTGAACCAATGCGTGTGTATTGTTGGCAAAGTGCACTAGGCTGGCGAGACTGACAGAAGTGTGTGCCTCCTCGTGATTATACTCCAATAACATCAAAGTTCTGCAATGAAAGGAACTTTTGCAAGCCAAATACCGAATGAAAGTGTCAGCTTCGCAATTAAATAATGTTTTGCAATAATATTTGCCAGAAATTTACGCCAGCTATTCAGTAGACAGCTGTGGCTAGGAGTGAGGAAAAATTTATTTCGCAAAAGATAGTTTCGATGGTACGCAGTATGTTTAATGTGTTCACATGACTATCTCAGCCAGTCTCCAGCAGTTTTGCTTTTGCTTCTCTCATTATATCAGACACAAGGTCGCATATAGTGTCAGTAGTCGCTCCTATGGCATAGTCGCCACGTGTGCATGGGTGCGCACCAGCTCTGCAAAACAGATGCGCCACTCCAAACTGCCTTGCATCTCTGCTGAATTGAGTGAGGACGGGCTTAGAGTTTGAGAATGACAGCATCTCAGCTTCAAATTTTATGAAGACGATGTTTTGCGTCAGCGTGAGACATCCACAGCTATTCATGTGTTTGTTTTGTTTACGGCCTCGAGTTGTCTCCTTTGCTGCAAGTGTGTAGCTGCTGACCTTTATGCAAAATCTTATAGCTACTCCAGTTACGTGCAAGATCCACACTTCACCAAGGTGCGATGAGCTGGCACCGGCTGCAGAGCTTCTCCTCACGACAAGAAGGCCACCAAAGCGCATCTCAAGTTGCACTACGCAGCAGCCTGAAACGTTTCAGAAGTGCTCGCGATAGTGTTACCTTTGTAATACGATGTGCAAAATGCTAAAAGAGATGTTTGGATGTATATAGTATAGGAACGCCAACCTCAGCAGAGTGAAGTGGCTCATGGAGAGGGGTGACACGAGACGAAATAGCGAAGTTCATTAGACATCTGATTCATGAGGGATTATTCACATCATGGGCTGGAAGTCCTTGAGGTTCTTATTCCAGGAAAACAAAAATTTACTGAGAAATGTGTGTACGGATTCACTTGTGTCTCACAAAAAAACCACGCAATGCTTCACTGCATGACTCAAGCAATGAAGCAGCACCTTGGTTATCTTCTTCGTCTATGTGAACAGAAACTTTTTGTACTGCATTTATTGTTTTTATACTGTTCCTAACTCATTTTTCTTCAAAATGTATATTCAGAAATTTCTTTGTTTTGAATATTTTTGCACATATAGTGTTTTTTCTTGCACTGTTTACCAGCTGGTAACCAAAAGTTACACACTTTTCACATTTTTATTCACTCCAAAATACTTTAGTTGCACTACAACATGTATTTTTTGAAAAGAGCGTTTCATTGCACGAAATTTACTATGCTGCAATACGTGCTGGAGTACTTTACACAATGACAAAAACAATTTTCTGGAGACATATGAAAAATAACCATTTTTGCGCGGTAACGAAAGAGTTGAGGCTCCACTGCAACTGCACAGAAGTCATTATCATTGACCAATCTCTGCCATTTCTGATAGGCAGAAGACTTTTTGTACATTGTGGTGTCGGCGAGTTGAGCATCGGACTGAACTTTTATACGACAAAATGTTTTCGCTCGTTCTATTTATGGCTTCTTGCAATTGAAGGTATTGTTTGGTTAGTCGTCGGTGGTTGTAGAAGCAGAGAACAGCATCAGAAAAGTTTGCCGTGAGAAAACTGACCACAAGTCTTAATGCTGCTTCCTGAATATCTTTCTTTTTTTCTAGAAACACCACCAATCAGCCAATGAAGAAATGCTTGGAAAGTGAGTGACCTTGCTCGCAGCATCTGAAATCTGCATATGCTGCTTGCCGACGTCTACGATATCTTTGTCACGAATAAACTGCAACGGAAGTGTTCGTTGTAAAAGCAGGAGGCACTAAAAACATTCACTATATGTAGATGCAGTTTCAATTGGTAGCACAGGAAAACCGCATGTGCACCAAGATATGGTTGTTATAATCGATAGATCGTTATATCTGGGATCGTTATACAGTCAAACCCATTCAGAGGAGACACTAATAAAACAGACACCAATGTGACTACAGTAAAATACGCGTCGATAACAAAATACATGCGAGATACCCTACTTATTAGGGACATCTCATATAAAAGAGAGCATGCCTCTTATAAAGAGGTTTAACTGTAAGTGGGTTGGCCTGTATACCGTTAATTCTGAGAGAAAAAGAGCAAATGCAATGGTTACAAAGAGAATTTGCTTGCCAGGGCTGGCTGAGAGATGCCAATGTTCTCTCTTAGATCAATAATGGCATTTCATGTGCAACAAATTTTGCATCAACTGCTCACAGAGCAGGGTGATGTGAGGGCAATTTCTTCCTCAAAGGAGCGTGCATCACTGCACTCTAGACAGATGTCATCAGCCAGATGGCAGGTACACACTTTTTATATACACACTTTCTTGTTGATATGTGAGGAGTGTGCATAGAAAAAGAGGGCTAACCAAAAAAGAAAGAAAGCACACCGCTACATGCCATATTGATAAAATAGATCTAGTTTTCCAGTCTTCCCCAAGCACCTATCTCACTTGCATCTCTCCGAAGACACTCTGTCATTGTTTTATATGTAGTGTAAGCACAATGTAACAATAAGCTGGGAAGGATGATGTCTCATTTACCATGCAATGGAAGCCAGGTGGGCACGTCCTAATCTGATAACATGCCTGAAGTGGCTCTAGTCAACACACAGGTGGCGGGCTGTACGCAAACATAGGGTTACTACAAATTTACTGGCTTGCAGCTTAAAAATAAAAAAAGCCCCATACTGCAATAGGAGTGTTCTTTTGGCCACTATAGTAGACTCCAAATAATTCAAACTCTGATAATTCATACTTTCTGTTAGTTCAAACAAAATTCAATGTTTTGGTTGGCCCTCTAGTCTTTCAATGTATTTAAAAGCCTCTTCCATTCAAACTCTAACAAGCCTCTTCCATTCAAACTCTAACATTTGGGTAAATCACCGTTTTTGCAGTTCTATACCGGAATAATCTGTGGCTTGCCCACTACTATTTCAAAATTTGCACTCTTGTTTAATTCTAACAGTCTAAAAATGAAAAATAAGTGCTTCAGGCCTTCAAGGAAAAAGGCTTTCCTAGTGAACAAATGTTTCAAAAGAAGCACACGTGTGGTAAATCGTCATGCTTCTCAACTGGTAGAGAGAGCTTTGGGCTGAAAGCACATACCTATAGCAAAGAATCAGCTGGCAATTCACGATTTCTTTAAAAGGTCTGATCAGCAGTAAAATGCAGATAAATTTGAGGGCCTTACACCTCTGCTTTCTGTTCATTGCATGCTGTTAAGGTTTAAAAACACTTAAAAAATTTTTAAATGCGATAAAATCAATGCCTAATCATTATGTGAGGTGTCATCTCACCTGGAGCCGAATATCGGAGAACTTCCGATAATTCAAACTTCTTGATAATTTAAATGAAATTCAGAGGCCCCTTCAAGTTTGAATTAACGCGAGTTGACTGCATTACACAAGCCACTTGATTGTAACTGTCATGCACTGAACTCGCTTCATTGCTGTTTGCAATTTAGGCACGCTACACATGTTCAAAAAGGGTTGTTTACAATGAGTCGAGAAGGCACATTGTGGAAGGAACAGCTGCTCACTATATTTAAAAAAAAAAACAGCATTACTTTGAGCAATGATTCTTTAAACTTAGAGCAAATAAGCAAGACATACACTGCAAGTACTGGATGACCATGAGCGCAAGCGAGTAGCTCGACAGGGTCCCATGCTTGGCCTCGTTGATGTGGCGTCGAGAGGCCCACGCCTTCACAGCTAGTACAAGGGGGGCTGTGCGCGAGTCCAGCTGTGCGTAGCACTGCAGCAGCCGTGTGTTACGCAACCCAACCACATTGTTCACGTTTATGTCCACCTCAACACCTGTGGTACGGTCACGGAAGCGCACAATGGGCACCTTGGCATGAATCACCTCTGGTCGCCCTCCCATGCACCAGCCTGCACACAAAACACAGGAACCAGCTCTAAACTATGTTCACAAGACCTAGAACCCACAATCTACGATCTGCCTCCCCTTCCCATTAGCCACAAACAAAAGATCATACGCACTACAAGTTTCACACATCAGCCATCACGAATCAGCAGACAGAAGCTACTGACATCATCCTTTACGTGGTCTATTAACTAGGGCAGTGTGAACAATGCTCATGTATATGCAGCACTCCCACCACCAGCACAACATTGTTTCTTGACACCGGGCATTAACATTCATTAACATTAAACAGTCATTAACATGATAGCAATTAGTACATGGACACCTGAGGCCGCCTTTGTCATGTTTGAATATCATGTCCAAATGGATTGCCCTGCATATTCAATGTGCAAGTGAAAGCATACAAGATCTTCCACTAGTAGTGGCTCATGCATTGTGTGAAGCCACATGAAAAGATACCAGGAGGGACTGTATTGCTTTAATCAAATAGGCAATGTTGCAAATTTGAGTGGGATTCAGCAAAGGACTCAAAGTACAGCAGAACAAACATTGGGTCTTTAAAATATATAGAACCGAGTACATAGTGCTACCTAAGTTGTCTTACTCAGTCTGCATACTGAAAAGGCAATACAGTGGACTGAAAATGCCTCATTAAACGGGCTCATACGGCTGGATTTGTATGTCTTGCGCAGTAAAATTCATCGGTTAGTCGAAGCAGTACTTATTGGTCACCTATGGTTAAACGGCACAAACTCTAAACACAGCATAGACTCGCTCATGCCAAAGGTAGTCTCACACACATGGCAACACCTCGAGATCGAGACAAGCCAATCTAGTGGCCACTCTCGCTTGTGGCTGTGGGAGCCGAGTTGGGGAGTCAATTGTGCGTTAGGCCTATTTGTACGGCTAAGTGGGGTGGATCACAGTGTTATTTCAGCCCGACGAAAAGGAAGCAGCTGCACCATAAACTCTTGCTTGAAAAAAAGCAGCAAATTCTTCAAGAGCTCGATCGAAGTGGCCTTCCCAAAACGCAGGTGGCAAAAAAATACATCCCGAAATCGACACTGTCGAATATCTGGAAAGACAGAGAAAAGATTAAAGGCACTGTTAAGAAAAGGACCTTTATATTTAAATGGATTCGGATGCGGGCGATGCCTTATGAACAACTAGAAAAAGTTCTTTTTTTTTTTTTTGTGATTCAAGCATGCACGGATTTCCAATTTGCCCTTAAGTGGACCAATTCTCGAGCAGAAAGCTCGAGAGATCGCCATAAAAATGGGTGTTAAGAACTTTGTCCTAAGCGACGGATGGCTCAGCTGCTTCAAAACACGTCATGGCCTAGCCTTCAAAGCAATCTCAGGTGAGAGTAGTGCAGTAAACAGACATTTGCACCAACTGGCAACAGGGGCGGCTGAAGAAAATTTCGATGAGCTTTGAGCCACGAGACATCTTCACCGTTGTCGAGATGGGTCTTTTTCATAAGGCGCTTCCCATCGAAGACTCTCATCTTCAAAGGCAAGCCTTTAGTGGAGGAAAACTCAGTAAAGATCGCATCACTGTGCTGGTGGGTGCAAACATGGCAAGAAATGAGAAATTGAAGCTGTTGATAATAGGAAAATCAAGGCACCCACGTTGTTTCAAAGGCAACCAAAGGTCCCCAGTGCCTTTGTCAAGCCGTTCTCACGGCTTTTAGCCTTGGCGACCTTCCAGTTTTTGTCTGGTAAATAAATAAAGTTTGATCATTGATCATTGAGTTCGACACCTTCCCGTTGCGTACCATGGGAACCCAAGAGCGTGGATGACCGTGGCCATTTTCGAAAATTGGCTTCGGGAGGAAGACTCGAGATTTACGAGGCAAGGCAGGAAGGTTATCTTCATTGTGGATAATTGCGAAGCCCACGGTCAGGTTCAAGGAATAAGCCATCACTCTGGAATTCTTGCCAGCCAATAACCCCTTGATCCAGCCGATGAATCAAGGGGTTATTCAGAGCATTGAAGTTTATTACCACAGACAATTGCTTCCTCAAATGCTGCTTAGAGCAGGCAGCGGGAAATGCTACAGCATGGATTTATTTGCAGCCATCCACATTTTGGCTTGTGCCTGGGAGCAAGTGAAAGCAACAACAATACACAGATGTTTTCACCATGCTGGCTTTCAAGCGCAAGAAAGCTGTACCTGATGAGAAGAAAGCCCTGCTGATGCCGACAGTGAGACAGTATTCAGTCAGGTCGTGCCCTCTGCCCCTTTCATGCTGCAGGACTATGAATCAATCCATGAAAATGTTCGCACCTGTCATGAAGACACTGTCGAGGAAATGATTGCCGAACTGCAAGATGAGGATCAACCTTCCAGCGATGAATGTGATGACAACACTGCCAGTGCAGTGGTGCCAACAGACCAATCAGCTAAAAAGGCTGTTGAATTTTTGCAGCGCTATTTCGAGCATGAGGCTTGTCCAGAATTTCTAGCTAGTTTGGCAGGCATGGGTGCGTACCTTGTGAAAAAACAACTCAAGCTTGCCAAACAAACCACTCTTCCTTCCCTTTTTTTTCTCCTACTCATCCACATGAGTAAGGTGAGGTTTGTGCAATTCGAATAAAGGTCTCAGTTCACTAAATAGGTATGCTTTACTTAAATGAAACTTCTAATAAATGGAACAGTTTTATGGATCCCCTTCCAGTTCCATTTAAGAGGAGTCGACTGTAATGTGTAAAGAGGCTCTTACTTGAATATGCCGGCTCTTCGATGTCCGAATTGACATTCATGTCATGCAATCATTCCTTTTCTTTAATCTTGGAGTCTGCTCTATGGCCAGATGCGCTGCTGCCATTGACTGTGCACAAGCAGGCCATCGTATAGCTAGCATGACCACTAGGCCAGTTAGGTCTAACGAAGTTGTTGTCTCATTCTTGCAGCATAACGTTCTACCGCCGCTGACATGGCTCTCCGGAGATTGTTTCAGCGGCCAGCTTAGAAGAGGGCTTGCGTCTGCATTGTTGAGATGCCTTGCTTGAACGCTGTCAAGTGTGTTGGCCAAACCTTGCGACACCCACGTCACAGGCTGCAGGCTCCACGGCCACTACTTCAGCTGGCGATACAAGCTTCTTCTGCTAAGCCCACATAGACAATGGCAGCTCACTGCTTTTTATCTTCCTTTTTGGCTCAGTTCATGCCCCTTGAGCCCTCTGAAATTTTCAGAGCATGCACTCAAGCAGCTGACACGCTTCACCGTCCCCTTCTTTTTGCCGTATAAGCTCTTTATCGTGACAATGATCATGTGTTATCTTCTTGAAGATTAGCATATGGTTCATACTTAAGCACTTTTTGTGCTCTCACTACTTACTTTATGCTGAACGGATGACAGTTGCTTCGTTTTTATAAGATGCAGTCACTGTTGTGTTCCCTTACACCAGATGGGTGTCTAAATAATAAAACATTCAAACTTGCTGCTGTTACCTTTGTGGCTTATCCCTTGAGACAAAACTGAACTAAGTGCAACATTGCTACAACACATTTCATCATCATCATCATCATCATCATCATCATCATCAGCCTGACTACGTCCACTGCAGGACAAAGGCCTCTCCCATGTTCCGCCAGTTAACCCAGTCCTGTGCTTGCTGCTGCCAATTTATACCCACAAACTTCTTAATCTCATCTGCCCACCTAACCTTCTGTCTCCCCCTAACCCGCTTCCCTTCTCTGGGAATCCAGTTAGTTACCCTTAATGACCAGCAGTTATCCTGTCTACGCGCTACATGCCCGGCCCATGTCCATTTCCTCTTCTTTATTTCAACTATGATATCCTTAACCCCCGTTTGTCCCCTAATCCACTCTGCTCTCTTCTTGTCTCTTAAGGTTACACCTACCATTTTTCTTTCCATTGCTCGCTGCGTCGTCCTCAATTTAAGCTGAACCCTCTTTGTAAGTCTCCAGGTTTCTGCTCCGTAGCTAAGTACCGGCAAGATACAGCTGTTATATACCTTCCTCTTGAGGGATAGTCGCAATCTACCTGTCATAATTTGAGAGTGCTTGCCAAATGTGCTCCACCCCATTCTTATTCTTCTAGTTACTTCAATCTCGTGGTTAGGCTCTGCGGTTATTACCTGCCCTAAGTAGACATAGTCTTTTACAAGTTCAAGTGCACTATTACCTATCTCGAAGCGCTGCTCCTTTCCGAGGTTGTTGTACATTACTTTCGTTTTCTGCAGATTATATTTTAAGACCCACCTTTCTGCTCTCCTTGTCTAGCTCCGTAATCATGAGTTGCAATTCGTCCCCTGAGTTACTCAGCAATGCAATGTCATCGGCGAAGCGCAAGTTACTAAGGTATTCTCCATTAACCCTTATCCCTAACTGTTCCCATTCTAGGCTTCTGAAAACCTCCTGTAAGCACGCGGTAAATAGCATTGGGGAGATTGTGTCCCCCTGCCTTACACCCTTCTTGATTGGTATTCTATTGCTTTCTTTATGAAGCACTATGGTAGCAGTTGATCCCCTGTAAATTTCTTCCAGAATGTTTATATATACTTCATCTACGCCCTGATTCCGCAGTGTCTGCATGACGGCTGATATTTCCACTGAATCAAACGCCTTCTCGTAATCTATGAAAGCTATGTATAGTGGTTGGTTATACTCTGAGCATTTCTCTATTACCTGATTGATAGTATGAATGTGGTCAATTGTTGAGTAGCCTGTTCTAAATCCCGCTTGTTCCTTTGGTTGATTGAATTTTAATGTTTTCCTTACTCTGTTAGCAAAAACTTTTGTATATAGCTTGTATACTACAGAGAGCAACACATTTATAAAACTAAAATAGCGGTGATGTTATCTGTCAAGCTCTTTCTATGCCAGGCTCTCGTAAAATGGCAGCTGTTAAAAACGCCCCATATTCGTGCGGCAAGATGCTCATCTGCAACATGAGTTCCCTACAGCATTCACTAAGAATGATGAAAGTGGGCACGAGGATAAACCGACAATAAAGAGTTGGGCCGTGCACTTTCAAATAATGTTATCTTGCTTGTTATCAAGGAGATTAAGCAGCATGAAGACAGGGTATTAGGCATTGCTGAACACTGACAAATTTGAATGTAATGTCAAGTGCATTGTTTTGCAACTGTCATAAAAGATACATAACTAGTAAACTAGTTGTGTAATCAGATCAACCAATCGCATTCTAACAAATTTTTCAGTAATTGCTTAGAGCTCGAGTTTTTGACTGTACGTAGACACTACAGCAGTCTCCCTCACATCGAGCCACAGACAACAAGACTATCAATGGTTTGATGAAGCATCGCCTCGTCGGGAAGAAACATAAAGAGCGAAATGAAAGCTAAGACTACCTTACGGTAGTTGGAATGTCTACTTTTAATAATTGTTTTGAATAGAGCTGATTTAACAGTAAAATTTTGAGTGCGGAACGAATTCAATGGCTGAAGTGTGAAAGTGAATGGAGTATCTTCGAATATTCATCTCATATTTTTCTAATACTTCGAAGCAAATTTGCAGGAAAAAATGTTGGGAAGGATTCCTAAGCATGTTCTTATAAGGTAGCAGCAATATCTTCAACTAGAGGGGTGGTGCTTCATATTTGTCTAACCGAAAGCTAGATGATGCAGAGGCCGAATTGTATTAATGTACCTGACTTGGTGTGACTAAATTGTTGCTGAAAACACTTTACACATGAAAGGCATATAGATGCTATTTCCTTCAACTTCTGTGGAAGCTCCACTGACGTGGTGGACAAGGGTATGCTCCCTCAAGTCCGGAGTTCAAAATATAAAATTTTGCATGCTAAATAGTTTCATCATCCAATTTTTTACGCCCGAATTTCAGGTGCAAGACAATATTAACTGAGCCCCACCACATCTATCATCTCCATGTTGGAACCAGTGTTTTCTTGAATTCATTTACAACTGTAGCAGAGCCTGAAAGGCAGCTTTGTCACAATTCAAGTGTAGTTGAAAAAAGCATATTGAAAATCTGAAGAGGCCACTGCCAATTTGACGTTGACTGTATTTCTCATCGGGAAGTTTGCATAGTGAAAATTCTAGTGCAAGTCGAGTCGAATAACAAACGCTGTTAGAAACATATTCGAAATTTCAGATATTCACACAGCTCTAGTTTGCAAACTTTTTCATTTTGGTCGGTGCTCTTTCATTTTATTCTTCAGACAACAAGACAGAATCCAGGACAAACAGTTGGAACCTTAAAAGGCAACAATTGCAAATTTCTAAATGCTACCAGATCGAAACAGTGTTTACATGCATGAATTGTGGTGACTCATACGATACAAATGTGGCTACTGCACGTGTACTACCTGTCTTGGTCAAGAGGCGGGCCACACGTGTCAGGATCGCTTTTGCTTGTCGCTTCTGATCAACCTGCACAGGTGGTGAGAATGCAACACAGAAAAATTTCTCTCGTATAAGCTTTTCTTATGTATTACAAATCCACCCCCACCATGAGAAACCAGAAAATTTGCTATGAGGAAAGATAACTTGCAAGTTCCCAAACCAGCTTGCCATGATGTTAAACACCTCTTGGTCGCTATTTTGTAGACAAAAATAGGTCACAATGCACTCAGAATGAAGTTGAGTTGATAATTTATCTTAACTGAGTTGCACGAAAAATTGAAGTACAAAACGAAGACACATGGACACAGTGCACTGTCCAAGTGTTGCGCTGTGTCCGAATGTCTTCCTTTTATACATCAATTTTTTGTGCAACTCAGTTGAGAGGAACAGATTTAATGTAGCATGTTCTTTTGTTTTTCTCTGGCTTTGAACATCAACAGCAGCCAACGTACTACAGAGAGCTAAGTTGCACCCCTTTACGAAAAACAGTGATGTAGGCATAGGAGACACTAGTGTGCCCACAATGAAATAAAGGTTCATAAGAAAATGCACATGCACATAAGAAAATGCACATACATAAGCAACACCTTATCGAAAAGACAGTAAATGCTCCCAGGTACATGTCTCTTATAAAGGTGTTATAATGTATTACCAACACAGCACCAATAGGCCATAATCACTTTGCAACAGAAGACTGTGACGATTTCTGCAACTTGATAGCACACCCGATTCTCGCTCCGCTAGTTACTGGCGCGTAGAGGAACTTCTTATGTAGAAGCGAGGTGGCGGGGGTATTTTGTCGACGGTTTGTTTTGACACTTCAGGTATAGCTAGCTGCAATTTTGGTTACTTGCTACAATGTTAACGGAGTCATCCCGGTCATTGTGCAAGGTTGCCGCGAACCTAGCAAAGTGCGTTGTAGCATCGTAGCGCATGCTTTTGCCAGCCCCTCGAGATCACAGAAGATATCACTGTTGCCATTAAATGATTACGAAAAAAGATGGTCGTAAAACGCTTTTATGGCGTGCGCGGGCGGCCCGGGTACAGCTTGCAGAAGATAGCGCCACCAACCACCAAAGATGAGTAAAGTGCAACAAAGAAGCCGTTTTCAAACTGTTTACGCGTATGCAAATTGCAAAAAACTAAGTGAACTAACTTTTTTTTGCATGACTGCATTTCTTGTTTCTTGTTCATTACCGCATTTCTTGTGCAGAAGTTTTCATAAAATTTACCCAGGGTAATAAACGCACCCCTCAACTTTGCTCCAATTTTTTATGGAAAAAGGGCGTTGATTACGCGAGTAAATACAGTAATACGCCTGTAGCAGTTGCCTAGCTATTTGGTCTCTGCTTTTGATGATAATCCTAGCTCGCTCAAAACCTGGCGCACACGAGCATCACCTGACTTGTGCAGGAAGATGCACACCATGACTCTTGCCAATACTATTGGCATGCTCCGTGAGACAATCGTTAATACGCTGTCTCATTTGTCCAATGTGCACCTTGCCACAGCTAAGATAAATTTAATAAAGAACACTTTCGGCACACTGCCGGAAAGGTTTCATGTACCTCTTTAGGCACCCTTGCTGCTTAGCATAACAGATTCATGGGCACAAGTGCACAGTTTATTTTGCACGGAAAACACAACAGGAATTGCAAACCTAGTGGCTACCACCCTAAGGCTACGACTCAGCTTATGCAAATAAGGCACCACCTGCCGCACCAGCATGTTATTAACAGCATGCTCTTTTTAACAGCACGCTCCCTTTCTCTCAAATGATCTTCCCTAGGTATTCAGCTTTCGTAGCAAAGATTCAGCAATGGCATGCAAGACTGCCTGAGAAAAGCCAGCCTTCTTGAGTCCACCAATTTGATTACCTTGTCTGGTCTGCTTCATTTGTGGACACAAACTGTGCTGCAGCGATTAAATATTAAAGACAATGCAGGACGATTCAGTTAAAACTGGATATAATGAAATTGAAAAATTCTCATAAATTTTCATTATAAAGAAGATTTCATTATATGCAGGTTGGGCATGAAAATTCAGAAAATAAACACACAAAGTAAACAAATGAAGTACTCAAGGCAATGCCAGATCACAACACTAACTTAGCGGTACAAAACTACGTTATTATTGCGATAGAAATTATATGAATACTCTTAGTAGGTTTTTGCCGTTGCCGCCAGGTCCTACAACAAGTCCAAATTGGTAACAGGCCCCCTCGCATCATAACTTTTACGAGAAGGTAAAAGGGCGCGAGCGCTGCTGAATTAGTGATAAAAATGAACTGGCTCATCTCTATCTCCTGCCGGGCACATAAGATAACATCCTCTTGCGTGTTTGAACTGCCATTGAATGCTCAAACAGACAGGAATCCACCCGTCTTGAATGTACATGAAAAATAAGGGGGGGGGGGGTAACTACATTAGCAACGGTGAAATTTGGTTAACAGGGTACGGTCTTGATCACTGGTGCGTCTGCTATCTCGGCCAGTATCAATGTACTTTCAACACAAAGCGACTGTGTGGAAAGAGCACCTCTCCCTGGAGCAGCCGTATTTGCTCACACCAGTGTTTTGTAGAAGTTGCGCAATGTCAGATCCAAAAGATTTGCTGCCAGCCTAACTTCTTATAACATTCATCGTAATGCGAAGAACTTTCATTTGTCAACTAAAGAATCGCTTTATAAAATGTATGTGTGTTCCATTCTCGACTATGCGTGTGTCGTTCGGGACCCCTCTACAATATGCGACACAGTGAAACTTGAAAGAGTGCAGAACATGGCCACTCGATTTGTTTGTGAACATTTTGACAGGAACTTCAGTCCTACGCACGGGGAAGAACTACTGAGATGAGATACACTAGATTGTTGAAGACGAAGACTTTGCTTGAAGCTTTTGCTTGAAACACCTGCCGCGCGACAGGTGTTTACTAAAAAGGCGTCGAAACATGCGCGGCACAGCGCCCCCAAGTTGAGGCTAGAAGGCCTACCCCTGAAAAAAGACACAACATGACTAAATGTGTGTGCGTGGTGGTTTAGCACGCTCCCTTTCCCTCGAGAAGTGCCTTATCTGCACAAGCCGAGCCATAACCTCAAGATGGTGGCCACTAGGTTTTCAATTCCTGTTGCGTTTTAGACCCCAAATGAACTGGCGCACTTGTACCCATGAAACTCTCATGCTAAGCAGCGAGGGTGCCAAAAGAGGTACGTGAAACCTTTCCGGCGGTGTGCCGAAGGTATTGTTTATTAAGTTTCCCTGTGCTGTGGCAAGTCGTACATTGGAAGAACAAGACGGTGCATGAACGAACCTCACGGAGCATGCCAATAGTATTGGTAAGAGTGATGGTGTGCATCTTCTTGTGAATGTCAGATCATGCTCGTGTGTGGCACGTTTTGAAAAAGCTAGGATTATCAGTAAAAGCAGAGACCAAACAGCTAGGAAACTGCTACAGGCATATTATATTAAAAGTAATGGGTCGGCTTGTGTCGATGACACATCTATCGTCCCCTATCAATCTGAGTAGTCCTTTATTAAACTGCTCATGTGATGACATGTCTGTGGTAACTCTTTCACGCCAGTGCACATGGGTGGAAGCTTACCTGTTTTTTAGCATGCACTCGCAATAAACATTCGGTAGTTTGGCACCCATCTGCCTCGTTCCTCCCCTCTCTTTCATGTACCTAGTATAGGGCCAGTTATGAAATGTTCAGCAAACTAAGGCACCGATTCCCCCGAAAGCAAGTTCTTTATCTATAATCTCCGGAGGCAGATGCGTAACGCACTTCTGTCTTGCACCGCGCTGCGAGTTCGAGGGGCCCAAGTTTTCGCAATAAGCCAATTAGCTCTGGCAACAACACGATGTTGCATTAAATGTACAAACAAATTGTAATGTTATACGAAGTAAGGCTGGCAGCCAACTCTTTTGCATCCAATATAACGGAACACCAACAAAACGCTGCTGTAAGCAAATATGAACGCTTTATGGAGAAGTGCTCTTTTCAGATAGTTTTTGGTGTTGAAAGAGCACTGATGCTTGCCCAGATAGCACACATGCCAGCGGTCGTGACCGCGCCCTTGACGGGGCCCTGTAACAGTCTTACAACAGCCTTATTTAGCATCAAAACCCATGTAGCAATGATTGCTGAGACAAATGCAACACCATTGATGAAAATTGGTGTACCAAAGATGAATTTATAAGTCCTCAAAGTTCAAAACTCGAGCAGACGACGAGGAGAAACATTTTCTTTCACAATTCATTTGCCTGCTGACATCAAAGACCACTGCCAATCACAGCGTGCGTCTCATAAAGACATACAGGAAGTGTCACCTCACGGTGCCTTACACACACAACCTCACTACTGCTCTTTTTAACAGTGCCGTTAGATTATTACTACGAACCATAAGCGTCGGGCAGCAGACGCTCCCATGGTCACACTGTGTAAGATGCATAAATATGCTTTGGGCGGGGTCATTTCAGAACTTACATGCAAGATGCGTTCTATGACAACGCCGGCACCTGCCGCATGTTGCACCTTTGACTCACTAAACACACGGCATGCGTTTCCGCCTTTAGATGCTGGTGTACCATGGACTCCTTCGCAGACTAAGTGCCGTGTTCATTGTTCTGAAAATACCACATGATTTGGAAACAGCAATTATTTCTCCTGAGAAAATATAAAAAGGGTATTTTACTGTTGTTAGCATTCACTCGTATGGCCTGGCTACCACCACCTGAATATTGCACGCTGCTTGTTGCGTCTACAGAACTGTAATCACACAATCGAAAGCGAACAGTCTTAGCTGTCACATCGCGAGACACGAGGAGACTTCTCATCACAAGAATAGTGTAAGTGTGTCGCCATAGCATGAAATGAAGGTAGTTTGTCGAGTGAATTGAAACTATAACAGCTTCGATTTCGGTGTTGCCACTTGCGCAACGATATTGGTGCATTCCACAGCGCCAGAAGAAACGATGAAAAACACATGCTCGAATCGAGTCACAGGCAGACCTGTGCGCCGGTACCAA